GGGGGCCTCGTCGGCGGGGACCTTGCTCTTCTTCCTCTCGCGGCCGGTCCCGCGCGAGGGTCCCCCGCCGCCAGTGCCGCCCTCCATGGCGGGGCGCGAAGTCCGCCCCTCGCCGCCGCCGCCGCGACCAGGACGGGGGCAGCTGGGCTCTCCTCCCCCGGCGCAGTCAAGGAGCGAGCGGGCGAGCGGCAGAGCGAGGCGGGCGAGCGGCTCCTGACAGCACCGGCGCTCGACGCCCACCCGACGGGACCTCTCAACGGCCGGGCAGCCGCGCCTGCCGAGCTCCGCCTCCGCCGGGCTCCGCCCTCCGTCACAGTGGCCCGCCTCCCAGGAAACAGCGCCACGCCCACCGCGCCGGCGACGTCGCACGTGAGACGCAGCCACGCCCCCTCGGCTCCCTCGCCCGCAGCAGAGGGAGGAAAAGGCGGTTGGTTGGAAACCAGGAGAGCGCAGAGATAGGAAAATAGTGTAGAAGGGGGCATGTGAGCTCGGAGAAACAACTTCCAAGATCCTTTCGGCGCTATTTTTCTCTCTCGTTCTCTGCGACTTGGAGAAAGAGGAAGTGGCAGCAAAGGTCCCAAGGGTGGGGGCGGAAATGTGGCTTTTAAAAAATTATTACTATTATTGTTAAATTTATATACCGCCCTTCATCCAAAGATCACAGGGCGGTTCGCAGTATACTGTAAACACACACGCACACATATATAGCATAATAATAACAAAAACCAAACTCCCCCGCCCGCACATTATTATAAAACAAAGAACTTTATTTGAACAAGCTTTCTTTCAGCTCCTATCACTTTCTCTGAACAACATTGTCTACTGTCTAATGTTGTTGCAGATGGGGAGGGAGGTTAGGCTGAGATTAGTTTATTTCCAGTCAAATATCTCCCATATACGAGACACTCTACAAGTTGCAGCAAAAGTCAAAATTGTTCCCACAAAACTTCCCGAGTTGTATGCATAAGCCTGGGGACTAGGCATGTAGGAGGGTTGCCATGTGTCCTCTTTTTCCAGGACACGCGCTCTTTTTCAGGAGTAAAATTAGAGAAAAATGCATTTATTTGCTAACAATGGCCGTCATATTGTCCTCTTTTTTTGCTCTTCAAAATACGGCAACCTTATCAGACATGCCCTTTCAAATAATTTTAAAACTTTTTTTTCCACTCGAACTAAGATCTGAGTAAGTAGGGCTGAGAGCCGGTTGCTGCTCATTCAAAGCTGCGCTATTGTATTGGGTTTTGGTTTTTCCCAGTCACCGTTTAAAGCATTTCCAAAACCAGCCCTCAAATTGCGGCATTTCGCCTTATCCTATTTTATGATAGATGCAGTTTTCCGCCTTCACAATGTAAAAACAGAATTACCCCCATCAAAAACGAAATGTGTATCTCTTTGAAGCCTATGGTGCCTCTACACTTTCTATCTCTAAGGTGGACATTTTTGGTAATGAGGCAGAACTTCCGCTGCTCTCCCTTCCGAAGCCACAGAGATAAGGAAAGGAAAGCGAGGCATTGCAGAAGAGATTTCCGGGTCCCGAGAGGAAAAACCCATTTTAAAACATCCCCGGGGCCGAGGAAGCAGTTACCTGTAAAATTCAATAGAGAAAGCGGGTGGGGAGGGGAGTGTAGTGACACTGAGATAGAGCAGCAGCAGCATGTCCATACCTAAACAAACAGCCGCAATAAAGGGCTGGAGTCTTGCTCTTTTGTTTTAACTTCTAAATCTAGCCCTGCTTGTGCAAGTTCTAATGCCAGTAGAGTCCAACACAGCCTGGAGGAGCTGCAGCGGAGTGTTGCTTGTGGAAACAATTGGCTGAGTTCGGCTGACAGAGTTAACATGCAACAAAGCCTCTAATAGTCCAGGATAATACTGCAGGTCAGACATGGGACCAAGGCTGGTTTAGATTTCCAACCAAAGCTCCCACACACAAAACCAACAGTTGCATCAGTTTCCTTAAACTGCCCCTATGGTTTAAACCTAGATGGCTTTAAATACTGCAGGCAGGATGTTGACAGGGTCTAGTTGGAGAGCCTGGGACTTTGCAGCTGTCCATCCATGCACAATGCAAGGCGCTTGTTATGACCCATAAAGCTCTAAACTGCTGAAGAATAAGTTACCTGCCCATATGCTGAGATCTTCAAGTCAGGCCCTCCTCTCTGCCCCAGTAGCTCATAAGTGTTTGGAGGGAATCAGAGGAGGGCCTCTTCAGTAGGTGCCCAGACTCCAGCACTGCAAATTCTGTCCAAGATGATCCTCCACAGGAAGCCAAAAAAACACCCTTTATTTAAAAGTCTTAAAAAAATGAAATAGGATAGGCTTTTGTGTCTATTTAGTTGACCTTATTTATTCATAGCTGTGTTTTAATTTAAAAAAAAATAAACTGGCCATTATTCTTTATCTGTTCTTAGAGGACTATCATTTTTCTTAATGATTTACTATGTATTGTACTGTTAGATTAGGGTTGCCATATTTTGCCATGCACATGGAAAGATGGGCTAGAAAAGAAATAAACAACTTTGAAATAAAGGTATGCTGCCATTTTGGACCCCCTCTTCCCACAGCAGCTTCAACACCAACCACCTATGAATCAGGGGACCCCAGGGTGCAGCCTCTGGCACCTGCAACCACAGATAAACATTTGCAAAGTCCCTGGTCCATAAGCATGGAATGCTTTGGATCCTAACCAATATCTAACCTGTGGTTGGAGAGCCTGTGGTTTGGGACTCCCATTTCCATCAGCCCCAACAAGTGCAGCCAATGGTGAAGGGTAACAGAATTGAATCACAGAGAAAAAGAAGGGACTTTTTTCATGTGTGGTGGGAATGTAAGAAAGTGAAAAGCTTTTGGGAAATGATATATAATGAAATGAAAAAAATGTTAAGATATACTTTTGTAAAAAAACCGGAGGCTTTTCTTTTAGGGATTGTAGGAAAGGATATAAGAAGAAAAGACTGTAAACTCTTCCAATATGCAGTAACGGCAGCCAGAATCTTGATGGCCCAGAAATGGAAACAAGAGGAAATACCGACGATAGAAGAATGGAGACTGAAAATGACAGACTATGCGGAATTGGATAAATTAACTGGGAAAATCAGATACACCAAGGACCAAAAGTTCATCAAAGACTGGGGAAAGTTCGTAGATTATCTGAAAAACATATGTGGCGTGAACACAACGCTAGTGGGATTTCAAGAGGCACTGTAAAAATGGAGAAGTATTGTTAATATGAAATAGTGGGAGAAGGGAAGTATAATGGCAATACGAAAGAAGGGAATGTGTAACTAAAGTTATAAATACGGATGATTGTCAGAGACGCTGAAGGAAGTTCAAAAAAGAAATAATTTGTTGTATTTTGGATAAAATTGTATAACTGGAAAATCAATAAAAAATTATTTTAAAGAAATAAACAACTTTGAAATAAAGGTATGCTGCCATTTTGGACCCCCTCTTCCCACAGCAGCTTCAACACCAACCACCTATGAATCAGGGGACCCCAGGGCGCAGCCTCTGGCACCCTGCAACCACAGATAAACATTTGCAAAGTCCCTGGTCCATAAGCATGGAATGCTTTGGATCCTAACCAATATCTAACCTGTGGTTGGAGAGCCTGTGGTTTGGGACTCCCATTTCCATCAGCCCCAACAAGTGCAGCCAATGGTGAAGGATAACAGAATTGAATCACATAGAGTTGTAGGGTTGGAAGCAGCCCCAAAGGGATGATGGAAGCTAGAGTACCAAGCAACCTGCCGGAGGGTCAGCACAGCTCCCCAACGCTTTATTAAGGGGGGTCATGGATTGAGATTATGGCTCATGTTTTAGAGTCTTTGAATGGTACCCACAGGGAAGTATACCAGCTGTGCACAAACATGCAAACTTTTTAGGGCACACGTTTCTTTCCTTTTTTTTTTTTTTTTTGCCCCATTCTGGAGACTGTAAATGAAGCCATTATCTAGAACTATGACATCTTGTCATGCTATCAGCAGCAGCGGGACTAGTTATGTACCAACATGTCACTGTTTGGTTCTGTTCACTTTGCAGCGGTCATGTTCTTGGATGAGTACTGCTATAGATATAATGAAAAATATATTTTAAAATTTAGATGTTTCCATCTTACATCAGTCATTGTAACTTGTGCTCTAATATTTTAAGTTTGAACTACATACATGGATGAGCAATATTGAGATCAGAGGAAACGGATGTTGCAATTAGAACAATGTCATTTTGGACACTTCTGGGTGAATAATCCTTCATTTCAACATACTGTCTGCAGTCTTGTGGTGAATACTGTCCCTGTCTTCAGAGGCTTAGGCTGCTTGAACTCAGCTTTACAGAACCTCGCATATGTCCTTCAGACAGTAAATTAAGGGAGTGTGTATTGCAGTTTCCAGTTACTACCCATGCACCCACACACTTCCTGAATGTGTGGCAAAAAAATCACTTTGTGCTACAGTGCTTCTACAACCATGAAAAGTAATTTCATACCCCCTCGAGACATGAAAGAAGAGACTGGGCTCCATTACTATAATAATTTTTAAAAAGGACTGAAAGTGACTGTACATCACACATGAGGAACCCATTTACAGTTGGAGGGCCAAATTCCCTTCTGGACATTTATTTCTGCACTGCAGGGGGTTGGCCTAGATGACCCTTGGGGTCCCTTCCAATTCTACAATTTTATTATTCCCAGGGACACATGCCAGTGACAGGAAGGCTAGAGGCAAAGTGGCAACAAAGGTACATGTTTCTACCACAGGCTACTTTCTATACAGTCCTTTGTATCCCCTCCAGACAAGCAAGAGTTTGAGGACAAATACCAGCCAGGCAAAAACACTCAAGAAGGATGTGAAACAGGTCCAGTGAAGGGCCAGGCATGAGGAGAGTTCTGAGGGCCAGAAAGAGAGGCATGTGGGGGCCACATCTGGTCACTGAGTCTGCTGTACAGGCTGCATGAGCGCATGTCAATGCAAGAGGCAGGGGAAGAAGGAAAGACACAAAACAGGTAAGAAAAACACCATCCTGTTGTTTAATATTTTAAAAGCATTAGTAAAATATGAGCATAAGGAAGAAAAGATCAGTTGCTGTTCTGCCATTCTACCCGCAGTGAAGTCTTCATAACACTGATGGCAAGTATCTGCATACACATACAGCTTAAGACCAGTAAGACCACAGCCAAACTGAGGCACACATTGCATCAATGGCTATGTAGTCACAAAGGAAAGAGAACTTGCAGTTAAAATTAGAGAAGCCTTTCATATTTTTGCTTGGATCCAAAAAGAACTTTATTTTTAAGGAAGCTTGTGGAAGAGATGTTTCCTGTCCACTTCTCCCCACTGTGTGCATCCCCCCTTACCCTGAAAAAGAATATCCTCTCTGGGTGGTCTGGGGGACCCTCCTGAACAATATGGAATGTGGTTCAGGGGGGAAGAGGGGACAGGAAGCTTTCCTTTCATAAAGTTCCTTAAAATTTATTTAGGAACAAAGCCTCTGCCTGAGCACATGCTCAGAAGGCATGACTCATTAAAATGTGTAAAGGGTCACAGAAGGGAGAAGCTCAACAATAGGAAGACTTTCCACAACAACATAACCATCTTTGGCCCAGGTCTCCCCCTACAATCCATGTAACATTCTTTTGTTAAGCAGCATGACTTCCATGAAACCAAAGGTGACGTCTGTGGAAAGGTCACTCTTGGGGGTACACTGAGTGGTACATAGGTGCACAATCCAGCATTTCCCAGCCTTGGGGTCTCCAGCTGTTCTTGGACTACAGCTCCCATCATCCCTAGCTAGCAATACCAGTGGTCAGGGATGATGGGAATTGTAGTATGAAACCAGCTGGAGGCCAAGGGTTGGGAAACCCTGCACTAGTGTGTGAATGTAATCAACACTCATGCAAAACAAAATTCTCCATTGACAGGGTTTTTTTTGGGGGGGGATGCCACTTTGGTACCAAGTACACAGTGTGACCAGAAGAAATATTAAGAAACAACACCCACCCACCCCCAGCCTTCTGTCCCTCAAATATCCCACATGGGTAAGTTTTTTCAACATGCCCTGATTTTGAAAATGAGCTGCTACAAAAATACCTCCTATGAAGAAATCTGTGCTAAATGAACCAGCATTGTTGGGTCAGCCGCAAAACTGACCGTTCCAACCTCCATTACTGGCTCAGCAAAATATTAACCATTATCCGGTTCTCCCTTTTATCTGATTTACTTTAACACGGGACTCTGGTTGGCTGAAAAACTGGCAAACGACTGACTTTTACACTGCAGCTTTTTTTGGATTTAAAACCAGCTGCTTCAGCAGAACACCTCACATACACAAACCTGTTTCAAAAGAAGTCAGAAGAAATGTCCAAGTGCAACAGTGCTTCTTGTTGTCTGCAAGGGAGACAAAGTCACTGCAGAATGAGACCCAACAGCTGGTCACACAGCATTGAAACAGACTTGTGTGAACATGAAATTATGAAATTCTTTTTCCACAAACAGTGGCAAAGGCACAGTCTCAAGGGATGGGAAAGGCTCTGGGAGGACCATAAACCTCTCAATGTCTTTTGCGCCCCAGTAATTGCATGATTCAGCAGTCCTGCTGCCATCACTTAGCGACAGGACAGAGGCTTTCCACTGGAACCCGCTGCATCCTTATAGCACCACCATCCTGTGATCTCCGCACTGTTCACACTCCCATGATTCAGGCATCATATCTCCACATCACTTTCTTTATCGTTATCATGGTCACCATCGTAGAACTCATTTGAAGCCTCCGGCCTGCAAGACAAGTTAACACAGGAGGAGGCCAAAAATTAAGCACAGACACTGGAAACCTGCCCACCTAAAACTGCAGCAACTACGTGCTTCTGGAAAACAGCAATCTAAACAATAAGCAAAAGCCCAAATCAATGTAGTGTTGGTTCTGGGAGGCACATATCATAGTTCCTCCAGTTGGGCTGGGGTGCAAACACGGGACGCTTCTACTTGAGGGATAAACAGAAACATGCCTGCTGTAGTTCTCCTCAGAACCTCTCTCTTCAGGATCAGGCTCATCTGGGCGATCAAAATTCAGCAAATCAGAAGGGACGTCATGGATCTGGACACTGGGTGCATGGTTCAGCATCTTCAAATTCTCAAATATAGTTTGCCGAATTTGATCTAAGTACTGGTCAGAAGAGAAGAGGGGGAGAAACAGCAGGTCATATCATAGACACCTTCAGGTATAAAAATGTTTATAAAGTTCCAGCCATCACTCCTGCCTGGCTGTCAGAAATGCCAAGGGCACTAGATTTTCTCTTACTGCAGGAGTAGAGAAGCCATTTGGCCCAAGGGCCGACAGGAACCTGTCCAAATTGCCAGGGCCAAAACAAAAGCAAAACTCTTAAGGGAATGGGAAGCAAAATCACACCACCACCCCCATACACAAAACATGTACCAGACACCAAGGACACGGCACTGCCCCTCTTCTCCCCCACCCTCTCTCTCACAAACAGAGCACTCCAGAAACAAAATAAAATTCCTCTCTAAGGAGCAGATGGGTCCTTTATCTAGGTCTAGGATCTTGGTGCTAAGCACAGCAGCACTAGGTTTAGAGATAAGCCCTCTGCCTATTCCTTCAGAGCAAAAGGCAGCATTTCCACCCACTCAGTTTGTGTGGGGTACAGAAAAATGCTGCTTTTAAAATCAAAGAGCAGACAGAGAGCTTATCTCCAATCTAAGAGCAAAGATAGGAGCTCCTTCTGCTGTCCTTTGTCTCTCTCAACGGGGCCATTGCTAATCTTAGCACGGTGACACTTGTAACATAAATTAAAAATCCCTTTAATTGTCACTTATGACATCAGGTGATTAGTAACGATCTGGATGAAATCCAACAATGTGAAGTCCATGTAATATATTAGGTACATTTGGCAGGCAGTTCATAGAATCAGAAAGGCAGTGCTCAGTATATTCCAATTTAGACAGGAGTCACACTCCTCTTAAAATATCAGATTGCAGCTGGGTGGTCCTGCTTGATCTTGGTGTCTTCTACGCTTATGATAATTTTTTATTCTCTTGCTAATTATGCTGTTCTAAATATGCATTTTATAGTGGACTTCCTTTAGTAATGTTTTCTTTTGAAATGGTCAAGATAATTTTTTCCCTAACTTGGCTGTGTTAAATGTGCATTTTATAGCTGACCTCTTTTGTAATGTTTTATTTTGAAATCTTTTAAGATAATATTTTAGTTTCCTGTTGCTTTGAATGTATACTTGACTTTCTTCAGTAATGATTTATTTGATGTTTTAATGAAGGTTGTAAACCACTTTGAGATTTTTTCTTAAAAATATAAAGCAGTATAGAATGAAATTAAAAATGAAAATAATAACAACTATTTGCCCAAAATGAATTTGCCGGTTCGGAATGATCCCAATCACTCTTACTCAGGCATAGGCAAACTCGGCCCTCCAGGTATTTTTGGGACTACAACTCCCATCATCCCTAGCTAACAGGACCAGTGGTCAGGGATGTTGGGAATTGTAGTCTCAAAACATCTGGAGGGCCTGCTCTTACTGCTTGGAATGGGCTTTGGGAAACCAGAAGCACCAATGCTGCAACTTTTGAAAATGTCAAGGTAGAAGACATGGTGGGAGGCTAAAGCAGAGCTAACTGAAATATGTATGGCCAAAGTTACTTACCTGCCTCGAGTTCTGATTTTCAATTCGAGTGCTGACATCAGGGTGGAGGGTAAAGTCTGGAGCAAAGTATTCAAAGTACTCTGCATAGAGACAGACAATTAGTGTGGATACATGCATACTGATGTTTATACATTTTAAAATAAGGAGGAAATCCATGCACAACCCCTTTCAAACTCTACAAGCCCATGCAACAACTAACTGAACAGCAAGCTGCAGCTCCACTCTCCTAAAGGAGGAATCTCTCTCAATGCCTTGGCTCCCTTTGTGTAAATTAATGAAATCAGCTGATTTTCCAGCTGCTTAGAACTGATGAAAACATAGAATCAAATTCTGCTTCATCTACAAAGCTGTAATGCCATCAAACCAACAAATATCTTTCTATGAAGCTTTAATGGAGAGTCAACACCCCATTTCCACTACTCTTTACTATCTGGATTGGAATTTGGTTACAGCAGAAGTACATGATAAACGATGGTCTAGGCAGATGCTGCTTCTTTCACAACATCTGTAGTATATTTTAGAGTTTTTAAATGGATAATAAATATTTTCAGTCAGTTTTCCGGTTTGCATAACACAGAATTATTGAGAATCAATGTTGATGAGCAAATGTAATAACCACTGACAACTCCAAGTGGAAAAAGTAACAGGATTAAATAATCTGGTTTAAAATAATTTGCCTCCAATAATTAGAAAAGCATAGGCAGATATAAAAAGGTTGGCTAAAAGTTGGTCGCCATCTCCACCACGTAAATCTGCTTAAGCCTAATATTTTGAAACAATCTAAAAGATGCTGCTTGTGAATCTGTCTATCTATCTATCTATCTATCATCTATCTATCTATCTATCTATCTATCTATCTATCTATCAGGACAAGATTAACCAACCCCAACCCCCAACAAATCATGCTGGAGAATTTGGATGAGGTGGATATTGTTGGTTTCTATTTGTGCCACTGTGCAGCTGCTTGGAGTCACAGGACTCTGTTTACATTCCAGAGACAGTCCAGGTTGTTGGAAGTCTCACGGGAGACGGATGTGACGTTACTGGTTTTCCTGTTCCTTTGTTTCAGTTGCTCTCTGCTCTCACAGGGAGAGGATGTATTTTTCTTTGCTGTCTGCGTAGCTTAGAAATAAAGCATAGCATGTAGCCATAAATCTCATTACTTCCGCGTGCTGTTTTGGAATCTATGCTGAATGGGATGTGCCTGGAGCCTTATCAGAGGCTCAGGTCGTTAATTATCGTCGGGGGCGACTTGGCCGGAAGACGAGCTTTATCAGCTCGGTCGAACACAGATTCTGACAGATATATCCCTGCACCCAGCCCAACCCAGAGACACTGCCTCTGTTGGCAGGGCAGTTCCACCAGCAAGAGCTTCCCCACTGTATCTGCCCAAACAAGGGGCACAAGCTACCACTGGCAGCGTTATTAGCAGCAGCCAATAGTAACCCCCAAATGGAGTGTTTCAGGGTAGAGGTGGGCTAGAACTCAAATCAGCCAGGCTGTTGCCACGTGATAACAATGGGCCCAACCAGGGCCTGGACACCGATATAGTGAGCTGACATTTTCCTCCACACACCACACCTGCCCTGGCCAGCACATGCAACAAGGTTCTACAGGTGGCAGCGGCTACTCCATGAAGCCTTGTCATTGCTTTTGAACTATCCCCCTAAGTTATCTAGATACTAATAACTTGGGGAAACTAAATATGCTACAAGTGAAATCAGTGACGTTTGAACATGTAGGTCCTCAACTTACCACTATATGGAAGCTCCTCACTAATTGCTTCATCTACAAGTAATGATGTTTCATAAGTCCTAAAATGAAAGGCAGATAATTTCAATCCAGAGTACAGTGAAGTCTTCACATGACACAAACCTGTACCATTTTATATCCAAGGAAGGTGAAGCCCCAACCCATTATCAACAAAAGTTTCCAGAAGACTCACCAGCACCGGGCCACATTGCGAACTGTGTAGCCACCTCCTCCTAACACCAGGAGGGGTATGTTGAAACTCTTTACATATTCTACACATTCCCTAGGATTCAAAGTTATAAAATTTAGAAATGAATTCCTCTCAAATTTGCTTACATTCATCTATGTGTTGTACATAAACCATCACCCTTCATATGGCTACAAATAGGTTTTGGAAAATTTACAAATAACTAACAACACAGGCTCTATTTACTCAGGTGTATGCTCCTGAGCGCGTTAAAAGTGGGAGGCTTATTTCAGACTGGTCAAAAGCCCAGAAAAATATATGCAGCACAAAGAGTCAGTGTGAACTCTCTAAAGTCCTAAATATTGAAAAGATTGAGTAATGTATATTATGTATAAATACACACAATAACTTATTCTGAGCTAAATGCTGATCTTTCACTACTGACTTGGTGAAGGTGAAGGTTGAAAAAAAGTAAAGAGAGCCTAGGTAGGTATGTACTATTAACCCATCTGTACCATCTCAAGGTAATTCTTAGTATAACTGTGGGAGGCATACACAATTAATAAAGAACATAAAGAACAAGCAAAACCTGTAAACTCTCTGCTTATCTTGTCTTTGTGAGAAAGCAGATATTGTGCAGGTGTGCCTTATAGAACACACCTGCCTTACAGAGGGGGACAACTGATCCAAACATGTTAACAAAAGTGGAACAACAATACCATCACTACTACAAAGCACCAAATCAACAAAGTTTGACATAACACTACATTATTGCTCAGAAAATCAGAAACGAATCCTCATGTGCCAGGATGAGAATCAATTCTCAGAAGGGGAAGAGGGAGAGACAGGGTTTCAGACTGCTAACTACCAAGGACCAAAAAAGATGTGACACAGAGATACATTAATGCAGGGGTCGCCCAAGTTTTTGGAGCAGTGGGCACATTTTGAATTTGGGGAAAGTGCCTGTCATAAAATGACTGCTGTTGGGGCAAAGCACAATTAGAGCAAGTACATGCACTGCTGTTTCCCCCTTCCAGACCTCATGCTTATTGTGGGAAATAAGCGATGTCCTGCTTGTGGAGATCACATGGCAATTATTTACACTATTGGGAAAAATAAACAAGGTGGCCACACACACACCTCTCTCTCTCTCTCTCTCTCTCTCTCACACACACACACACACACACACACACAGAGAGAGAGAGAGAGAGAGAGAAAAACTGTCTCTCACACGCACTTCACAAATGCCTCTCCCTCTCCACCCAAGTGCATCTTTCCCTTTCTCAAAGCACACATTCATCCGTACTTGTTCACATACGTTTCTGTCTCTCACAGACCATACGCATGACTCTCCCCCTTCCAGCTCTCTCTCATAGATACACAACATTACACATGCATTTCTCATCTCTCTGCTCAAGTGCATCTCTCCCAATTCCACGCAGAACCCCTTCAAGGGGTGAAGCAAGTGGACACCCCCAGCTCCACATGGCTGGCAGGCAACAAGCAAGCAAAGAGGATGGACCACCAGGTGAGCAGAGAGCAATCCCTGCCACTTCTCCCTGCTCCAAAAGCAACCCCTCAAAAGCAACCAGAATGCAAGGAGGCCAACCCTTCCAGCTTCGCTTTATTTTTAACTGAAGCAACCACAAAGGCTCTAATTTTTATCAGACCAGCAGCACTGTTTTTGCAATACTGTATAGTTCATTCACCGTAGTAAGCAGCTATTTAGCCTGTATCAGGAAATAAATATGGTACTACTGCATTCTTCCACTGTGGGGGCAATAGCAAGTTCATCGGAAAGCAGTTTTACTGAAGCAGAACAGGTGGGGGTCTTAAACTTTTTCTCATGCTGTTTTTCAATCACATACACACCAATTAGTTCCACTGTGTTTTTCTGCTGCAGGGCTAATAGTCGCTTTGTGGGAGGGGTCAACCTCACCCTCACCCCTCCAGCACCACTAGTCCAAACAAATGTGAAGCTCCCACAGCTGCATTAAAGGGTAAAAAAGGTGGGAGATCCAATCACATCCGTTTCAGTTCCAATGCGCCCTTTTACTCAACTCATTAAAGGGACTCACCCATGTCCTCTTATGCTGAGGTTAAAGCAACCAAGACGATCACAACCTAGCGAGTCAGCACCACACTTAATGGAGGCAAAGAAGAAGAAATGAGGAGAAAACAACAGTATTGGTGCACTAGCTACTGATTATCCAAAACACTTACAACAGAATATCAGGAACGCACCTCATCCCAGCCAGCCCACCTATCTCCCAACCCTCCCCCCACTAGTTCTTCTGTGTGACCACCAAAGGAAATGCAAGTCCACACCCATGACTCTCACTGCTTAGGTCTTCCATCCTCTTACCTGCAGCACTATGCACGTGGGCTGATAGAACTCTATAACTTGATTAATGACTGGCTGGAAGAGGTGTTTGTAACCTTCAAAGAGAAGACAAGACTGCTGTTATAGCTCCTCTGCTGCATTCTGCACAGAAGTCAGAGTATCCAGCAAGGCCCAAGAGAAGCCTTCCACTTACTTTGGTCATCAATGCCGTCACGCAAAGGTACGTTCAGACAGTAATAACGGCCACTCTCAGCTCCCACTTCGTACATGTCACCTAGCAGGTGAAAGCGGGGCAAAGTGCAGAATTCAAACTTTGATTTTTAAAATAGTTTACTACCTAGCTAATCCACAGCCTGAAGAAATCCCATCTCCATTTTCAGCTCACCACTGGAACATCCCCACACTAATGTACCTATCCTATATCTAAGCACTCTGCAGGTATCCAAAATGAAATCTGTATTGCATCTTTAATCCAGCTTATAATAAGCAATAAAAAGTTTTGTACCTGTACCAGGGAAGAAGTAGTTTCCATATTTGTGAAAGGACACTGTCATGACACGGTCTGTCAAATAAAAAGCCTCCTGAACACCATCTCCATGATGGATATCTATGTCAATGTACAGTACACGTGGGTGATACCTGTCAGAAACCCAAAAACATGTTAGAGAAGCAGGTGGAAGCTGGCAACACCAGGGTGAAATCCTGTATCCAAGCTGCACAGCCACTCCCCTCACCCAGTTGCCAATCCAAGTTTCTTACTCACCAAAAAGGTGTATTTCATGTCGTAGATCAGAAAGGGAAACATTTGTATGTATTTTATAGTTAGGCAGCAGATAGGGAAAGGGATTGGAGACAAGCAGGTAATGTGTTTTAATTATCTGTAAAGCCAGACTGGAGGAGGAGGGAGGAATAACTTAGTCTTCTTGATGAAGGGAGCAATGCCAAGTAGTGGAAGCCAGTGTAATTTATGCCAGTTTAAGTTAAGCAAGCATAAAGTGCACCAGATCCAAACCCCATTCAGGGTGGGGTTTTCAAACACAAGACTGCACCAAAAAATGCCAAGCCAGGGCTTAATTATTGCATTTCTTAAACTGGAACAAAAAAGTGCATGTAGGAAAGAAGTGTACCACATCTGGACTCAGCCAGACACAATTAAACAAGAATTATCACGTTATGATCAAACACTTGAAGAAGGTTCAATGTGGCCACAATGGAAGGGCCACCAGCACAAGAGAAGCCATTTAGACACACAATCTCTAGTGCGGCTCCATTATGCCATTTACAGCACCACCAACTCCCCCCTCCACCTATGCACCACTTGCACCAACTCCTTACTTGAGAAGCTCCAAGATGCCGATCACAATGTCATTGACATAACAAAACCCAGAAGCCTGAAACACAAAAAAGACAAAAGTGAGTCAGTGAAAAGCAACTAAGTTTTCTTTACCCTCCAAAGCAAGGAAAGTAGACTTGCCTCATTACCTCAAACTTCTTGGCATGGTGCAGACCTCCAGCCCAGTTTATTGCAATATCACAGATCTAAGGACAGAAGGAGGACATTAGCTCAAATGAAAGAGGATTATGCTGCCTTAACAGCAATACATACCAAGGGATGATGAATCCCTATATCCTAAGCTACCCCATCCACTCTGCTGACTGCCTTTGCAAAACAACAACAACAACAACAACAACAAACTGTTAAGGCTATCTGAGTTATAGTTTTGTACCCATGAGAGTATTTAGCATTTATACTTCCTAGCATTCTAAGCACTTCACTGCACTCCTCACATATAAGGTAGGTCAGAATTAGTACCTCCATATTGGAGATGGGAAGCTAAAAACCACCAAGTGAATTCATGCCCCAGATAGGATTTGAACTGGGGGGTTCCTGAGTACCCCACCATGCCATATCAGATATCATAAAGTTCCCCCAGAGTCAATGATTATGAATACCATTTTAGTTGCACAAAAAAATTACAGAGCAAATTTTAGAGCAACCTAATTGACAGCAACTTAAGGATGTGAAGAAGGTGAAGATGACATCACCTTGTTACCTTATTATTCAGTTGTGTTGCTCCTTGCAATGAAGCCCCAGTATATCGAGAACAAAATTCAAACAGCCCTGGGAACACTGGACTATGAGAGAACACAAAATTACACTTAGTTCAGCATAACATGCCAGAAACTTTCCAATCCAAAATAGCTATTTGGGTATGGAAGATCCGACCATATCGCTAGATGTGAATAAGAAACACAAGTCAGGCAAGGCAACGTTTTTGTTTAGCAGCCACAGTTGAAATAGGAGTGTGCAAGTCGTCTAATAATTCAGAACTCTTCATCTGCAAGGGTCCATGGTTCTACTTGCCAAGGCAAGTGCCTATCCCCAGCAAACATGACAAGCCCTCTCCCAATCATGGAGCAGGGGCTGGGCATTACCCACAATTAGAAACACAACTGTGTTTCCAGAGATGCTCCAAGTACCCTGAAATGACAAGAAGACGACAAAGAGGAAGAGTTTGGATTTGATATCCCACTTTATCACTACCCTAAGGAGTCTCAAAGTGGCTAACAATCTCATATCCCTTCCTCCCCAACAACAAACACTCTGTGAGGTGAGTGAGGCTGAGAGACTTCAGAGAAGTGTGACTGGCCCAAGGTCACCCAGCAGCTGCATGTGGAGGAGCAGGGACATGAACCCGGTTCACCAGATTACGAGTCTACCGCTCTTAACCACTACACCACACTGGCTCTGGAAAGTCCATAAACCGCATTCCCACTACTCCTGTTCCCTGTATTGTCTCTGATAATTGAGGTGGCATACAGAGCAATCCTAGCTGTATCATCCTTCTATTTCTCCAACCCCCTTTAAAGCCATGCAAGTTGGCGGCCATCACTACATTTTGCAGTCGCAAATTCCACTATGTGATGTTTAAAAAGGTACTTCCTTTTGTTTAGCCTGTATCTTCCCACCTTCAGATTCATTGGGTGGCCCTAGTGCTTAGGGGTATACTGCCTCTGACCATGGAGTCTCCTTTTAGTAATAATGGTTATTGATGGACCTATCCTACGCAACTCTTTCAAGTAGCCAAGGAACTGTGCACAAGGGCAGAATCACCCATCTCTTTCAGTATTGCACAGTTGTAGCTGCACAGAGAAGTCAAATCAGCCTGGAGAGGGTGCCAAGGGGTGAATACAACAGTGCTTGCCAGGTCCACCCACTCTCACGTTGGGTTTGAGGGCTGGCTCTGGTTGCTTTTGAAGCTCTCCTTATTGCTGTCTCTCAAGATGACATAGAAAGCTGAGAAAGTTTGTTGGAACAGAAATGTCTTCAGATGTTTCCAGAAAGTGCAGCTATCTGTGACTGCACTATCTAAGCAGGAACACTGCTCCTCAAAACAGGGGCCACCACACTAAAAGCCCTGCTCCAAGTTACTTCTGAGCAGGCTTCTGATATCTTTGCGGCTTGACGGAGAAGCTCTCCTTACTCCTACTGGGTAAAGCTGTCTCTCAAGTGAGATGGTCATTGGTATGTGAGACCCAGCCCAGTAGGAGTGTCACTTTCCCTTTTGAAACTTGTCCTGGTAGCAGATTAGCAGCCAGTGCGAATCCAGAAAATACAGTGTTGCATGCTGTCAGCCATTGGCTCCTGCAAGCAACCCAGCTGCCATGTTCTGCACTAGCTGCAGCCTCTTGGCTAACCTCAAAGTAACCCCACATAAAGCATATTGCAGTAATCTCCCCCTTGAGCTTGGCAATGCATGGATGACTGTAGGCACACAGTAATATTTGTGTGTGTGTGTGTGTGTGTGTGTGTGTGTGTGTAAGAAAGCACCGGCTTTGCTAGGCCTCAGACTTTAGTAAGCCTCCTGGTGCTCCCGTAAGCAGGGCCGACCAAAGATATTTTAGCACCTGAGGTAAACCACAAAATGTTCTGCAGTGGTCTAAGTATGACAGGAAACTACATTTTCCTCAGTATTTTCTAGCCTACCTCCATGTGCTTTAACATCACTTCAAGAATTAGGAACCTTTTAGACTTTTCTTAATTAAGTCACTTTTCTCTAAAAAGCTTTGCTGACATTAAGATTTCTGCATATGAGATCTTCAGCTCTATTACAGTAGTACACATCCTTGGTGAAGCCAGGAAAATAAGCAAATATTTACTGTTGGCTTATGTTTATAGAGCACATGAATAAAGGTTGAATGAGTGCCTTCCACTTATCTCCCCCTAGTCAATCTCTCTGCATGGCATTCCATTTCCCTTCTCACACCACATTCACATCAGTCAATCATCTACCCTTCTACATCCTCACATATATTTCCACATGTAAATCTTTATCTTTCTAACCAAACAACGACATTATCTTATTTCTTTTGTCATTCACACCTGTAGAAGATTTAGCAAAAAATTTAAACCACTTGATTATACACAGAACCCCCAAGTCATTTACAAAAAAATGAAACAAACAATATTGCAATGAAAGACCAGTACTTTTTTGTTCAAGCAGGCATTTGGGACCTCTGTTATTACCACACATTTTGGGTCCTATCTACCTGATGCATCTAGAATGTATGCAGCACTTACCAGTCATCCCCCACATTGAAAGCATTGAGGCTCTTGGTGAATCCTTGCATGTTATTTGGAGACACTCGCTGAAGGAAGTCAATGTAATCTTCTGAATGAAAGCGGCACATATCATGCTGAGATGCTTGATATGGTTTAAATACCTGCAAGAGAAATTTCTCCCATTCAGATCTGAATTCAACAGCAGAACAAGGCTGTACAGCCATCAGACTCAAAGATCCAGTTTACACTATCCCTACTCAGACTTCTATATTTATGCTCACCATGGCAAATGAGCTGCTGCAGTTTTATGAACTTAATGAACAGAACCTTCCTCTGAGACCTGAAGCTGCAGAGGTGGATAGGAATTGTCCTGGCAATTGTGCAGCAATACCCACTCTCAAAGTTGGGTATCCCAGCCAAATAGGTAACAACTGCGGGAAAGGGAGGGGGGCTTTCTTAGCACAAATTGGAAAGGGGAAGGTCAGAAAACTAAAATGCTTTGGCATGGTGGCAAAGTCAATAAAATTGCTGAGTCCTGCCTCCAGTGATTCCACACTTTGTGAGAGGCTTTACATGTCGTGTATGCAGATTCTGAAATATACCTACAAAGGAATGGATAAAAATGCCCTAAAATAAATATTACTGCCTTGAAACCAGCAGCTGCCTTTGACCCAGTAAATGCAATGCTTACAATCATCTTCTTATAGAGTCCATAGTGCAGAACCAGACTGTGGGTGAGTGCCAAGCGATGAGGCTTCATGGGATGTCCCGCTCCTAACACAATAAGAAAGAAAGGAAAAAACACTGTGAAATCAACATCCCCATACCAGAAACAAAGGTTCATTAAGACCTAGCTTATTACTAGTGCTCGTCCATAGAGAAAGAAGTGCAAACAGAGATAAAAGTAGTATTGTGGGAGAACATTATGCTGATACATGATTCCCTTATAGCAGAAGTATAGCCCAATGATTAAGATTTACATTGTTAAGAACAGTTGAGTGAAGTACCAATGAGTTTCATTCATTGTCTAACTTCTTCTTTGGCAATCACTCATAGCCAAGTAAGATTGCCTTCCATAAACACGGTTTTAACAATGAGTCTGTAAGTGGCTGTGGAGGCCAATTCTGGATCCACACATCCTTCCACAGTGGGAACATTGGTTTCCGGGCAGGAGTTGATCATGGTGTGGATTTGCCAAGCATGCCTTCCTCTTAGCACTTTCTCCCTTCCATCCTGAGTTCGAGTGTCTTCAAACCCCATGACACCTTTGGTAAAGGCTGTTCTCCAACTGGAGCGCTCGCAGGCCAGTGTTTCCCAGTTGTCAGTGTTTATACTACATTTTTTTAGATTTGCCTTGAGACAGTCTTTCAACCTCTTTTGTTGACCACCAGCATTACGCTTTCCATTTTTAAGTTTGGAACAGAGTACCGTAGTTGCTTTGGAAGACGATCATCAGGCATCTGCATCTTATCATAAGTGTTCTCTAAATTGAGTAAATACAGTTTCCACATAATGCATGTATGGTTCTTTGGTGGTGTGTGGTTTTGGTTTGGTTCAGTCAAAATATCCTTTCAATTCCCACCACCCTCACAGGCGTGCTTGGTTAGGAACACAGGAGAGGGCCTTCTTGGTGGCCTCTCCCAGACTCTTCCCCCCCCCCCGACCGTGATAATTATTACTATTAATTTACTTATTATGACTATGTCAAATGGGGACTCGGAGCTGAAAATACAACCATGAAGAGGCAATTAAACGACCACAGAGTTAAAACTAGATATAAATATAGAAGATGCACGAGAGTGGATTTAAAAGGGGTTGGGGAGGAAGCGAAACCTCCGTGACTGGAACTCTTGCTGCTTATTTTTAAAGCGGGGGCTGTTTTCTGAAGGGCGGAGGCAGAGATCACGCGGAGGCGGAGGCAGAGGGCCACTCGGCACGGCCCGCTCCGCCCGGCAAGACCCGACCTGCGGCCTTTTCCGACCCACCCCCGGCTCCCCTCGCACCGGCCCCCGCAGAACCCGCCGCCGCGCCGCGCACCGTAGTGGAAGTTCCCCACGTCCGGGTCGTAGAAGTAGGCCACCGTCTTCGCCATGGCAACCCCTCGCGGAACGGCCCCGCCGAGTAACGGGCGACCCGCGCGCTGCCACGCCGCCGACGTCACCACGCCGCCGACGCACACACGGAGGCTCCGCCCACAAGCGACGCGCAACACCGCTCGCTCGCCCGGGCTCCTCCTGCCTTCTCGCCAGGCCGCTCTCGCGAGAGCCAAAGCGAGAGGCCTGGCTCTTCGTGGGAGGAGCGTGGGCGGAGTTATAGCACGCCTTGCTTGGGCTCCGTCGGTCGGGATTGGCGCGTCGGTAATGAAAGTAAATCGTGACTCCGCCCCTCTCCGCCCCGCGCACGCGCACAGGCCGCGATCTCTGCGGAGGTCCTGTTTTGAGCCAGCTGCAGCGAAGGCTCAAGACAAGAGAACAGAATAGGAAGTAATTACATATCTGTCGATATCGGTATCTGTTTATAGACATGTATACTAAAGGTCCGGAGAAAGAAGGGAAAACCTTCCATTTTATTTATTTATTTCTTAAAATGTGTACAGTACACTGCTTGATTGTGAAAAACCTCAAAGCTGTTTACAGAAAGGTAAAATCAAGAAAAATCCACAACTCTGCTTTAAAGCATTCAAACGTTAAAATACCAAAGCAGATTAAAATCACTGCCAACTTCCTAAGCATCTGGGCAGGCTTGTCTAAGGCGCTGAAGGAGTGAAGGCGCCTTCTTGATCTCAATAGGCAGGGAGTTGCAAAGTGCAGGCGCTGCCACACTAAACGAGTATGTGGCAGCTGCACTCATGGGTCCTTATGTCCACTAAATGTTTACTCCCAGAATAATACCCAAAACAACAATGAACAGCAAACCTTCATGTGTGGCTCTAATACTACAGTGGTACCTCTGGTACTTATTTCGTTCTGGACGTACTTATTTCGTTCTGGAGGTCCATTCTTAACCTGAAACTGTTCTTAACCTGAAGCACCACTTTAGCTAATGGGGCCTCCTGCTGCCGCCGCACCGCAGGAGCACGTTTTCTGTTCTCATCCTGAAGCAAAGTTCTTAACTCGAGGTACTATTTCTGGGTTAGCGGAGTCTGTAACCTGAAGTGTCTGTAACCCAAGGTACCACTGTATTTGAATTTAGGTGTTAGTAGTTACACAAAGAATTTTCCCATATTCAAAACCACATTCTTATTTACCTGTAACACTTGAAAGAGGCCCCTCACTTTATCACTACAGTATAAAATCTCCTATATGTGCAAGTGTGTGAAGAAAGGAGAACAGAAAAATGAAGGCAGGTGGGATGTATTTTCTTTAAAAGATGGAGCTGTAGATCAGGCACCCCCAAACTCAGCCCTCCAGATGTTTTGGGACTACAACTCCCACCATCCCTAGCTAACAGGACCAGTGGTCAGGGATGATGGGAATTGTAGTCCTAAAACATCTGGAGGGCAGAGTTTGGGGGTGCCTGCTATAGATAAACCTGGCTGGCTTTAGGAAGGTGGCGGGAGAGCTCTTATACCCCTTTAGAGCATCACTCCTCCCTCCCTAAGCCAAGCAAAAGAGCTTTTAGGGAACTAGCCTAGTCCCCCAAGTCCACTGACCACTCACCACTGCTGAAAACTAAAGTCTGGACAAAAAAAAGAAAAGTGTTTTATTTAGCATTGCAAGCCTACATCCTTAGGTTGGGCTGTCTTCCCCAGAACTGCTTCCTCCTGATAGAACATTTTATTTCCCACTATCATTATTTGTCCTGTGGACCATATGCGTTTCCTGAAGGCTTTTCATACTGTTGAAATCCTCCTTCACTTTTAAATATATATGCATATATACCATATGTCTAGCCATTGTGGAAGCAGTAATGAAAACCAGAATTAACCCTCATCATTTCAAATCTATATAATGTTACAGAGAAACATTTAAAAGGATCAATTCACTTTTTTAATTCTTTTTTTTGCTTTTTCATTGGTTTCATGCAACAAAACATAGAACAAGGATAACCGCCCTCCAGCTATAGTTAAGCATCTAAAACAGTTCTTATTAAATTAATTTGCTTAATATGGACAAACATGATAATTCATTAGCTGTAGCCCTTTCCTCTGGCCCAGAAGTGCCATATCAGGTGTGCCTTTGCCACTGTCACAAAAGATTACTTTGGGTAGAAGCCCAGTTTAATTGGGACATCCCTGCTTTCGCTCAGTATGCCTGAGTGTTTCAATGTCCATAATGATTGCACACTTAACGTTCCCTCTGGACTATACCTCTAAGAGAGGTGCAGCAACCAATTAGAACACAGAATTTGCATTTAAGACAATTAAGTCCCATTAACTTGTGGTCTGTGGGTTGCAGCATTAATCCCATCACACCTTTTAAGGTTGGAAGACATTAATTGCCCTGTTTAGCAGCTGTTGAGTGAAACTGCTGAGCGGCTGTATCCCTGAATATCCTGTATAGGGAAGCTTTTTAATGTGCAATGTTTTATGTTTTTATATACCTTGGAAGCCACCCAGAGTGGCTGGGGCAACTCAGTCAGATGGGCGGAGTACAAATACTACTACTACTACTACTACTACAGTGGTACCTCAGGTTAAGTACTTAATTTGTTCCGGAGGTCCGTACTTAACCTGAAACTGTTCTTAACCTGAAGCACCATTTTAGCTAATGGGGCCTCCTGCTGCCGCCGCGCCGCTGGAGCACGATTTCTGTTCTCATCCTGAAGCAAAGTTCTTAACCCAAGGTACTATTTTTGGGTTAGCGGAGTCTTTAACCTGAAGCGTATGTAACCTGAAGCGTATGTAACCCAAGGTACCACTGTACTGCTGCTGCTGCTATTCAGTGCATGTATGAGAAAATGAATAAACATAACTAGCATTAGAGACATGCCTACTACTAGTAAATTCGTCATTATAAAAATAACTTTTTTGTCACTTTTTTATTATTTCTTTGTTTGACCCCTCAGAATTACTCCTCCTCATAGAAATAAATGTTAAATTAACAAGTTACCTTTTTTTTGTGTGTGTGTTCTTCACTCCCCTTCAAAACAGTGACCAGCGTACATGCCCCTTACAATGTAGCGGGTGGGCAGGCGGGAAGGTGACGTCGGGACGGTGCGTGACTAACGCACGCACCGTCCCCATGCGACGTCACAGCCAGTAGACGGTATGTGACGTCTCCTCCCCTCGTAGTACGCCCGGATGTGGCAAAGGTGTAAATAGAGTTTGCACCCTTACTAGTAGATCTGGTAACTAAACTGTATTCCAGGTGTACCCTCCGTGTTTCTCACTGCACCAACTTCCCTGCATCTCGCCCCTCTCCCTCTTTGCAGGCAAGAGCACCCCATGTGCCAGGAAGCTAGCATGCCCCCATCCTGTACTGCAAGCCACTTTTGCCGCACACCCTTTTAAAAAACCACACTCATTGCTTCAGGATAACAGCATTGGACCACACTTCAGCATTAACCTCACCCCCACCCCATCAAAATGGGTATAAAAAAACTGGGTGACTTTACAGGGTTGGCGTAACATATGCTCTATCAACCATAGCCTATGATGTCGTAAATATCTATAAATGTTGTAAAAAATTACCATTTCAAGGAAGGGACAATATTTCTGGCTAAATAAAAGATCTGAGTTAGAAGTATAAAGAACTCCTGTCTTTGCTGCTACTTTTTATTTTTGAGTTTACACACTACTCCCCAGCTACAGTTACACTCAAATTCTGGATTTCCCCAGAGCAGCATACAAGGTAAACAAACAAACAAATATGCCTCCCATCTGACTGGGTTGCCCCAGCCTCTCTGGGCAGCTTCCAGATTGTAGACCAGGCAAACTTTTTCAGCAGGCGGCCAGTCCACTGTCCCTCAGACCTTGTGGGGGGCCAGACTATATTCTTTGGGGGGGTGAACGAATTTCCTGTGCCCCTAAATAACCCAGAGATGTATTTTAAATAAAAGGACACATTCTACTCATGTAAAAACACACTGATTCCCGGACCGTCCAGGGGCCAGGATTTAGAAGGCGATTGGGTCAGATCCGGCCCCTGGGCCTTAGGTTGCCTACCCATGTCGTAGACAATAGGTGTTTCACTCCAACTTTTGCTTTGTCTGATTGAGTAGATCTGGTTTCCTAAATGTCATTCATTGCTATTACTTCAGTCACCAACTAAGAACAATGAAAGGTTAGGAGCAGGCAAATTTATCACAAAACAAACAAATACCTGCACGTTTTGCCTCATATCTCCGACTCTACAAATGCCAGAAACTTAGTTTCCTTTTGTTTTCATTTTTAAAGAATGCTATGTATCTGAGGGTTCTGCCTCATCCTCGCACATTCCCATGGTCTTTGCTCAAAGATTTGGACTTTTAAATTATATATATTCAGATTTGGCTCTATGCCTTATTGAGAGGAAGAGGGAAATTATTTGGAAAGAATCTAGTGAGTTAACCTGTCAAGCATACTGTATATCCATCTGTGCTTAATGCACCACAGGTACTCATCCAACATTTTCCATGTATTTTTAAAAAATGTTAATATTAAAATTGCCGTCAATTATAAAAGGAAGCAATCATACTTCCTTAGATACCCTATAGATCCCAACACAATTGTCCCATTACTGGATTGCAATCACCTCCTTATTTTCAACATACATTTATCTTCCTATCATTTAAATCCTTTGCTCTTTTTGTCATATCTATAAATATTTGAAACTGGCAAACAATATCCCTTCCCATTTTAATATTCTTTCTTGCCTCTAGTTTTCAAATTGGCTCAGACATTAAAACAGTTTTGGCCACCCTGAGGATTGGGAGAGAACAGGAGGCATGGAGGGTCACCCAGATCAGCAAGGTGCAAGTGTGAGATAAAGTCAGCACACTTCCTTAAAGCTAACTACGCCATGGGGCCAACTGCTGCATTTACCCTAGCAGGAAAAGAGGTAAGAATATATTCCCTTTTCAAATACACATTTTTCTCTCATAGACAGAGAAATAGTAGCCATTTACCATTAGAAAAAATCCAATAATATCTGTAGGAGAATAGCCTTATTAGGACCAACTAATATGCATAGTGGGATGTGGGTGGCGCTGTGGTCTAAACCACAGAGCCTAGGGCTTGCCGATCAGAAGGTTGACGGTTCA